TGTATCAGACATTGGTATAAACCTTGGTAATAAATACCGACAAGTTGGTTTAGAAAGACACGTAAGCAAACACTATAACATATTTATTAGAAAACGTTTCGGTCCTGGGACCTTGATCACTTCTAACACACAGAGGTAGAAAGACATTGTACTGTTGTGGTTGGGTGTCAGGTCGGCACGAGTCTGTGTTGATCTTTCAAAGCTTGTCGTAGATGGCTGCTTGAAGACGTCATTACTGTCACCCCGTGATGTAGCTTGTTCACAACCAAACATTGTTTTGTGCTGATGTGACCCTTGTTAATGCCACTCTTGTACACCCACTGTGATGTGACCCTTGTTAATGCCACTCTTTTACACCCACTGTGATGTGACCCTTGTTAATGCCACTCTTGTACACCCACTGTGATGTGACCCTTGTTAATGCCACTCTTGTACACCCACTGTGATGTGACCCTTGCTAATGCCATTCTTGTACACCCACTGTGATGTGACCCTTGCTAATGCCACTCTTGTACATCCACTGTGATGTGACTCTTGCTAATGCCACTCTTGTACACCCAGTGTGATGTAACTCTTGCTAATGCCACTCTTGTACACCCACTGTGATGTGACTCTTGTTAATGCTAGTCTTATACACCCACTGTGATGTGACCCTTGTTAATGCCACTCTTGTACACCCACTGTGATGTGACCCTTCTTAATGCCACTCTTGTACACCCACTGTGATGTGACTCTTGCTAATGCCACTCTTGTACACCCACTGTGATGTGACCCTTGTTAATGCCACTTTTGCACACCCACTGTGATGTGACCCTTGTTAATGCCACTCTTGTACACCCACTGTGATGTGACCCTTTCTAATGCCACTCTTGTACACCCACTGTGATGTGACCCTTGTTAATGCTAGTCTTGTACACCCATTGTGATGTGACCCTTGTTAATGCCAGTCTTGTACACCCACTGTGATGTGACCCTTGCTAATGCCACTCTTGTACACCCACTGTGATGTGACCCTCGTTAATGCCACTCTTGTACACCCGCTGTGATGTGACCCTTCCTAATGCCATTCTTGTACACCCACTGTGATGTGACCCTTGCTAATGCCAGTCTTGTACACCCACTGTGATGTGAACCTTGCTAATGCCAGTCTTGTACACAAACTGTGATGTGACCCTTGCTAATGCCACGCTTGTACACCCACTGTGATGTGACCCTTGTTAATGTCAGTCTTGTACACCCACTGTGATGTGACCCTTGTTCATGCCACTCTTGTACACCCACTGTGATGTGACCCTTGTTAATGCCACTCTTGTACACCCACTGTGATGTGATCCTTGTTAATGCCACTCCTGTACACCCACTGTGATGTGATCCTTGTTAATGCCACTCTTGTACACCCACTATGATGTGACCTTTGCTAATGCCAGTCTTGTACACCCACTGTGATGTGACCCTTGTTAATGCCACTCTTGTACACCCACTGTGATGTGACCCTTGTTAATGCCAGTCTTGTACACCCACTATGATGTGACCTTTGCTAATGCCACACTTGTACACCCACTGTGATGTGGCCCTTGTTAATGCCACTCTTGTACACACACTGTGATGTGACCCTTGTTAATGCCACCCTTGTACACCCACTGTGATGTGACCCTTGTTAATGCCACTCTTGTACGCCCACTGTGATGTGACCCTTGTTAATGCCAGTCTTGTACGCCCACTGTGAGGTGACCCTTGCTAATGCCACTCTTGTACACCCACTGTGATGTGACCCTTGTTAATGCCACTCTTGTACACCCACTGTGATGTGACCTTTGTTAATTCCACTCTTGAACACCCACTATGATGTGACCCTTGTTAATGCCACTCTTGTACACCCACTGTGATGTGACCCTTGTTAATGCCACTCTTGTACACCCACTGTGATGTGACCCTTGTTAATGCCACTCTTGCACTCTAACTGTGATGTGACCCTTGTTAATGCCACTCTTGTACACCCACTGTGATGTGACTCTTGTTAATGCCACTCTTGTACACCCACTGTGATGTGACCCTTGTTAATGCCACTCTTGTACACCCACTGTGATGTGACCCTTGTTAATGTCACTCTTGTACACCCACTGTGATGTGACCCTTGTTAATGGCACTCTTGTACACCCACTGTGATGTGACCCTTGTTAATACCATTCTTGTGCACCCACTGTGATGTGACCCTTGTTAATGCCACTCTTGTACACCCACTGTGATGTGACCCTTGCTAATGCCACGCTTGTACACCCACTGTGATGTGACCCTTGTTAATGCTACTCTTGTACACCCACTGTGATGTGACCCTTGCTAATGCCACGCTTGTACATCCACTGTGATGTGACCCTTTTAATGCCACTCTTGTACACCCACTATGATGTGACCCTTGTTAATACCATTCTTGTACATCCACTGTGATGTGACCCTTGCTAATGCCACTCTTGTACATCCACTGTGATGTGACCCTTGTTAATGCCACTCTTGTACACCCACTGTGATGTGACCCTTGTTAATGCCACTCTTGTACACCCACTGTGATGTGACCCTTGTTAATGCCACTCTTGTACACCCTGTGATGTGACCCTTGTTAATGCCACTCTTGTACACCCACTGTGATGTGACCCTTGTTAATGCCACTCTTGTACATCCACTGTGATGTGACCCGTATTAATGCCACTCTTGTACATCCTCTGTGATGTGACCCGTGTTAATGCTACTCTTGTACACCGACTGTGATGTGACCCTTGCTAATGCCAGTCTTGTACACCCACTGTGATGTGACCCTTGTTAATGCCACTCTTGTACACCCACTGTGATGTGACTCTTGTTAATGCCACTCTTGTACACCCATGTGATGTGACCCTTGTTAATGCCACTCTTGTACACCCACTGTGATGTGACCCTTGTTAATGCCACTCTTGTACACCCACTGTGATGTGACCCTTGTTAATGCCACTCTTGTACACCCACTGTGATGTGATCCTTGTTAATGCCACTCTTGTACACCCACTGTGATGTGACCCTTGTTAATGCCACTCTTGTACACCCACTGTGATGTGACCCTTGTTAATGCCACTCTTGTACACCCACTGTGATGTGACCCTTGTTAATGCCACTACTACACACCCATGTATCGTTGTTCTGGTCTTACAACCTCACATTGTATCCACATGTATCGTTGTATCATCCGTGTTTAGCACAGCTAAGAATTGTGGTGAGAAGCTGGCAGTGTCTCAGTTACCGCATCTTCACGGGTACACACACACATCACACCACACACACACACCACACACACACACCATACACCTAGTCAAGCACGTCAAGAAATTAGAGAAAGTGCAAGTTTGCAACAAGACTAGTATCCAAGCTACGGTGTGATTGTCCTACGAAGAAGGTTGATGGAGAATTGGCTGACCACTGGAGGCCATGGAGGGTCAGGGGAGACATGATAACGAACATACAAAATACTGCGCGGAAAAAGCAAGGGGGACAAAAGAAAGGATGTTCCAGAGATGGACAAGACACAAGAGGTCACAATGGAATTGAAAAACTCAGGGTGAATCAAAAGGGATGTTAGGAAGATTTCTTCAGTCATAGAGTAGCAAGCCGTGGGAAAAGCTAGAAAGTGAAGTAGTGGAGGCGGGAACCATACATAGTTTTAAGGCGAGGTATGATAAAGCTCATGGAGCAGGGAGAGAGAGGACCTAGTAGCAATCAGCGAAGAGGCGGGTCCAGGAGCTATGACTCGACCCCTGCAACCACAAATAGGTGAGTACACACACACACACACACACACACACACACACACACACACTCAGACACACACACACACACACACACACACACACACTCAGACACACCACACACACACACACACACACACACACACACACACACACACACACACACACACACACACACACTCAGACACACACACACACACACACACACACACACACATATTCAGACACACACACACACATACACACACACACACACACACAAACACACACACACACACACACACACACTCAGACACACACACACACACACACACACACACACACACACACACACACACACACACACACACACACACACACACACACACACACAAACACACACACACACACACACACACTCAGACACACACACACACACACACCACACACACACACACACACACACACACACACACACACACACACACACACACACACACACACACACACATTTATTTAATATCATATAATGGTAGCGAAGCATAATCTGATCCATAATAAATTAGGGAGGATTAATCCCAGTTATATTACGTTTAGTTATGTTACGTTCAATGGCATTACGTTCAATTATATTACGTTCAATATTATTTTTAAGGATATTGCGAACAGTTACGTTACGATCAAATAAGTTACGTTCAATGGAATTACTTTTAATGATATTACGTTCTATGGCTACTACCTTAAATGGCATTACGTTCAAGAAGATTACGTTGACGTAAGTGGCGTACGACAGGCAGCCTCTCAGAGGTAACACAGCGGCCATGCGCGAGTCATGTCTCAGAGGTAACACAGCGGCCATGCGCGAGTCATGTCTCAGAGGTAACACAGCGGCCATGCGCGAGTCATCTCTGAGGTAACACAGCGGCCATGCACGAGTCATGTCTCAGAGGTAACACAGCGGCCATGCGCTAGTCATGTCATCTGATAATTCATCAAAATGATTTAATGATCTTCACGTGTCATCAATTTTCCCGACGTGATCCACCTTTTCTAGGGAGCTTCAACCCGTACGAGCAACACTGTAGGCGTACAATGCACCCAAGACGATGTAAGGACATACACGTACACCCACAGGTATACACACTGCGTGTCTGTCTACATGTAAGACTCCCCCAAAACGACGCTAGAACATACACACACACACACATACACAGATGTACACACTGTGTATGGCTACATGTAAGTACTCACCTAAGACGATGTATGTGAGGAGGCTGGAACACAGCGTCAGCAAGAAGAGCACAGCACCATACAGCAAACGCTCATGCCAGCGTCTCAGCCTGTGCACACACAATAAGTAAGTAAGTAAGTAAGTAAGTTTATTCAGGTATACACAAATACAGTTACATAGAATTATCATACATAGCAGCATATGTGTAGAGAACCTGGGATAACACAAAAAAGTCAGACAGTGACTTATTTCCATTGGGGTCCTTTTACCTTATTATTATAATATAAATGTTATATATTTTCTTATTCTATAACGAAGATAACATCTTATTATCATACTAACATGAGTCACAGAACAAGGTGAGTATACACGAGTTAGAGGATATTATCAGTACATTAATTATTTACTGAGTAAAAGTGAGGAAATAAACGTGAGGAAAAATATTAAGTCGGGAAAAAGTTGGAGAAGGGAAAAATGACAGGTGAAGGAAAGATGGTGAAGAAAGAGGGGAAACAAGAAGTAAAGAAAATGGGAAGGAAAAACGAAGAGAGAAGATGGAGAAAGTAAAGCGAACAACTTAATGACAATAACACTTCTACACTCACATTATTCCTCTCATGTACAATTCATTGTATTATCTCATTGTTAGGAATGTAGGTGTAGTCTAGCGGCCTGCACACCTGGCTGTAGCACGACAACTAAGGCAGAAACGAGAAACCAGCAAAAGGCATCGACCAGACTTGGAGGTAAGTCTACTAAGGTTGATTCACGAGTGTACCACATCGCTTCACAGCTTTGGTGGGCTTCTTTGTGATTGGCTAGTTGAACTAGGGTGCTAGCATAATGAGGGGGCCCCTATTCATTACACCCTTAGGAGCTGGTTCACTGGTCGGGAGAACATGCCTATGTATGTATGTGTGACATAGGCCGCATAAAATATACTCTAAAAAGGCCTCACTGTACACTTCAATGTATCCTCTTACTGTATAATTCATTGTATTATCTTATTGTACAATTCACTATATTCTTTTACTATACAATTTGTATAATCACTGTACAATTCACTATATTCTCTTACAATTCGTAGTATTCTCTTACTGTACAGTTGCAACACAGGACATAAACAGAGGAATAAAGATGAATCAACACCGGCGCTCCTCCGGTATCGTCACCTCAGCACAATTTTAACCCAACAATCGTAATAATATTCTTCTGTCAATTTCGGTAAGGGCTTGTGGGGGGGGGAAGATATATATAAAATATATAATATATATATATATATATAAATATATATATATAAGTAAATATTATATATATTATATAGTGACGAATAGGTAAAACTTGCGATTCATGGTTTAAATAGCAACGCTCTTCTTGCCGAATAAGGCAAGCAAAGATTTGTTTATGCATTAATTTCGCAAAAATCATTCTGAAACTATCGAAAAAAAATATATATTTCATTGTGTTTATCTTTTAAATTATTGTCAATTATTGTTTGTGACAAGACCTCAAGTACTTTCCACTAATATATTAAGAATAAGGGATGTTACATTAAATTTCTTCGCCATTATTACAAACACAGTTGTCTGGAGGTGGGATTTATACCGATACTATTTAACGAAGACTAATTACGATTTATTATTGTGCGAATATTGTAAAAGCCATTGTGCAGGAAGTGGAGAGGAAGCTATGGCGCCCTAGAGGTGTTAGGAAACACCAGTTCACTCTGAGAACAGAGAACTCCGTGAACAGTTAGAGAACCAGTAAACGATGACCAGTGTGATATCTCGACCACTGGAGAACACCAGTCAGTATGCAAAACATCCCTGGAGACCTAACAACTGTAATGGATAAAGAATGGCTTCTCGTGTGCAACCCGAATGGGGTCCACGAACTGGGGAAAAGCAAACGGACAGGTAGTATAAATACAAAAAGGCACAATACCTGGGACTGGAACAAACAAATAACCCGCACATAAAGAGAGAAGCTTAGACGACGTATCGTCCGACTTGAACCTGACAAAGTAATGGTCAATGCTTTGGTCATGCTCCAAGTCTGGACCGAAACGGTCTCGTAAGCTTCTCTTCAGGGAGTATAGCATGGGTGGGGAGAAGCTGCGAATATCGGAGTCAAAAACGACATGGGAGTAAATACAGCATAACAGCAGACACACAGCCAGGGATATACATAAGTCGTACAGCATCAGCGACTTGAAAGAGAAATACTTTGTTAAGAGTTTAAAGTCGTTACAAAGTTTAACTCTGGAATTCTCCTCTTATGTAATTACTATATTTAGTGATGCAGGATTAACAAATCTCAGAATAGCATTCAGGAACTTGAATAAATACCTCAGAATATTATACACCACATATTTTAGGCCATCAATGAGTACGTGGGCCCAGCATAGAGCCAACACCTGGTCAAACACGTGAAAAAAATACAAAATGTTTAAAGGTTTGCAACCAGGTTAATACCAGAACTAAAATAATGCATCGAGCGATGGTCTGAGGAATGAACCTGACACTTGAAGAAGAGAAGGTCAAGGAGACATTATTACTTGCAAATCTTAAGAGGATTGGTTTGAACCAGTTGTTACAAAAAACGCGTTCTAAAGCTTAGAGATCTCAGGTATACTAGAAAGGACTGCCCTTCTAGCATCACTTATGGTTTTGTACAAGTGTCAGTATCCTGTCCAATTATCCATTAGAATTCAGTATTATTCAATAGTGCTTCAGGATTACAACTGGTAGGCTACTAACTAGAGAAATTATAATTTAATAAATTTATTAAGTCTAGAGGTATATTATCAAATTAAATTAAATTAAATTAATCACAGTAATTAAAATAATATCACTTCTCTCGTGTACAATAGTATTGTGCTGAAAGCACATATCACATTTATAATTCTTAAGTACCGTCTGGTACATTAACATTTAATAAGATATTACAAATATGTATAAGTAAGTTTGTGTGTATGTGTGTAAGTGCTCTAAGTAGTTCGCTATGTCTCACGACTCGACTAGACTTAAACAAGTGACTGACAAAGTCCTCAAATAAACTAACTTCTTGACCGACTGGCAACCAGAACAGTCTGCTTGAACAACAAAAAGAATGTTAAGCCCAATAGCAATACAACAAGCAACTGCGACACAGAATCAGGAACAAGGAGATAATATAACGACACTAAGTAGGGACCATCTGCAGATCCTCCACCAAAGTTACAAAACTCCCATACTACTGAATCTAAGTTCAGCATAAGAAAATCCCCGACTGTGACAATACACAGAAACCAGTACAAATTAAGTAAGAAGCTATAGTTCAGGACCTGAGTTACTCAGAGTGTCTATGAGACACACAACCTCAGTATAACGTCGAAAATCACTAAGTCTATACAATGTTCTGTGAACAGAGTTCTACAGAACTAACAAGAATAATGAGACAGACAATCTGTCCAACCACCAAACGAGTCTAGAGCAGACTGAATACTTCAGGCGAGGTGAGGACACCCCCCCCCTCGATCACGTGATAGCTCCGTGGACAGCAGTCGCCCAGCAAGAAGCCGGCAATGTAACGAGCAAACAGCGATAATTACAGTAGTTAGACAATCAAGACTTGAACTGAGCACATATGTTACATCCTACCAAACAAAGGAAACTACATCAAATAACAATATAAAACAATACGTTTACGATTTAGCTATTATCGCAAATATAAGCAATATAAAATTAAATGAAAAGATAATAATTATATATATATACATAATAATCATTGCAACCAATCAGGGGTTGCAACAGTTAATACCAGAACTAAAATGAATGCACTACGAGGAGAGGTTGAAGGAATTGAACCTGACGACCTTGAAGAAGAGAAGGTCAGGGGAGACATTATTACTACGTGCAAAATCTTAAGAGGATTGGATAGCTTTTTTACATTAAGAGGTCAAGGATCAGAGAGACACAGGTGGAAAATGGAGACACAGATGAGTCATAGGGTTGTTATGAAGTATTTCTTCAGCCTCAGGATGGATGAAAACTGGAATGACTTGGCTGAGGCAGTGGTGGTGGTGGAGGCAAACTCAATATACAGCTTCAAGAATAGATATGATAAGGCCCAAACAGGCCAGAGGTCAGTGATGCCAGTCAAGGTGGTCTAGGTGGCGAGGCCAGGAGTTAAGTGTAAACACTTTAAATATAACTGGGTGAGTACACACACACACACACACACACACCACACACCCCACACACACACCACACACACACCACACACACACACATACACACACACACACACACACACATACGCACACACACCCCAACACACACAAAACACACACACACACACACACACAACACACACACACACACACACGCACACCACACACACACACACACACACACATACACACACACGCACACACACACACACACAAACACACACGCACACACACACACACACACACACACACACACACACACACACACAGGCGGGGCCAGGAGCTGAGTCTTGACCCGTGGAACCAGAAATCACACACACATACACACTTCCTTATTAAGGTATCGGAACGCTATTCTCGGGTTTGCCAGGCGCCCGAAATGCTGCAGCGGTTATTTGGTTGATGTGTGCCTCCGGTGATGTCTCGGTGTTATGGTCACCCCAAGTCTTTCTCCCAGACCTCACTCAGGAGAAAGACCTTGGGTGACCATAACACCGAGCACATCACCGGAGGCACACATCAACCAAATAACCGCTGCAGCATACGGCGCCTGGCAAACCTGAGAATGCGTTCCGATACCTTAATAAGGAATCGTTCAAGACACTGTACACTGTGTATTTTAGGCCCATACTGGAGTATGCAGCACCAGTCTGGAACCCACACCTGGTCAAGCACGTCAAGAAGTTAGAGAAAGTACAAAGGTTTGCAACAAGGCTAGTCCCAGAGCTCAAGGGGAAAGTCGTAAAGAGGAAAGGTTAAGGAAATCGGACTGACGACACTGGAGGACAGAAGGGTCAGGGGAGACATTATAACGACATACAAGAATACTGCGGGGAATAGACAAGGTGGAAGAGATAGGATGTTCCAGAGAGGGGACACAGGGACAAGGGTCACAA